TGTATACTTATATATAGTGGATATGTATATATATATATATAGTGGATATATATATATATATATATATATAAGTATATATATAGTGTATATATATAAATTAAATGTAGTATTTGTATCTACCGACATCATTTTGGTCTAAAATGACTTTCTACGGCCATAGATCTGCGAATTTCTCTTTTTTTATTTTTTCTCCATTTCTGTTTTTATGTTTATTCTTCATTTCTGTTTTTATGTTTATTTTTTATATCCTTTTTACGTCTTTTCTTTACTTCCTCCCGTTTTTGAGTTGTGCTGTTTCTGTTCAGTGCTGGAATTGACAGACTCTGCTGCTGCATCTCCTCCTTCTTCTTCTCCTTCTTCTCCTTCTCCTTCTTCTTCTTCTTCTGCTTCTTCTGCTTCTTTGACATCTGCATTGAATCCGTTATTAGAGGATTCGGTGAGTGGCGGCGCCTCCCCATCAATTTGTTGAGCTCAGCGACGCGGCGATTAATTTCGCCGACTTCGCCGCTCATTTCACTCAAATTTCAGGCGCAGCCTTCACTTAAACACTGCCAAGCAGGCAGAATGGCTAGCTAGCTCGCTAGCTAGCTGAGAGGGGCTAGCTACGCAGCTAGCTATCTGGTTGAGGGGCTGTATTGCTAGCTAGCTGGGTCTTGCTGGCTAGCTGGTGGGCTGTTTACCTTGCTAACAAGCTAGCTAGCTATCTGTCTAGCTACCTAGCAAGGTAGAGAGGTCTGTGCAGCAGCGTTTGCTGCAGAAAATCTGGGGGGATGCCATAGACGTTGCTGCTGGGGCTAGAAGTTATTGTTTGTTGCTGCTGTTTCTCTCTTCTGCTGCTGCGGTTTGTTTCTGTGGCTTGAGTGGATATTCATGCACTCTTTTGTTGCTGCTGCTGCTGTTGCTGCTACAAGCAGCAGACAGCAGCAGCAGCAGCAACAAAGCAGCAGCAGCAGCAGCAACAGCAGCGGCATGGTGCTGGAAGCAGCCCCTCTGCATGCAAAGACAGGAGTGGGGGTTTAAAGGAGAAATTATTGTTTTGATTTCTGCTGCTGCTGGCGCGTTGTTGCTGTGTATAGACAGTAGGCGGTTTAGTTTTATTTGTAGTAATAATTAACTGCAGCAAACGAAGTCAAAAGGCAAGAAAACAAATTTATTTTAACTAGAAAATATGTCTTTAGAAGAGGCCCTTACATTCTCTTCATCTAGAAATAAATAAAAAGACATACAGAGATTAAATAAGTGTGTGGGGGTATATCTTCTTTATCTTCTGTAACACTAACTGCGCCTCTTCCTGTTTGCAAACAAACAAAAACAAAAAATAAATTAAAAAGAATAAAACAGAAATAAATAAATTCAAAGACATCATCACACAAACAACAGCAAATTATTATTAGTATTACAACTAATATTATTACTACGATTTTTATTACTATTATTATTATTATTATTACATTGTTAGCATTAAATATATTTATGGAGATAGGCAAATACAAATAAATACGACGGAGAGGGAGAAGATGATAAAAATAAATTAAAGACGGAGGCAGCGACGACGCGAGAAGACGCAGAGGAGCAGCATTTATTTGTTTATTCATTTGCTTGCATGTTTACACACATATATATATATATATATATATATATATATATTTACTTCTCTATTTATTTATTTATGTATTTGTTTGTTCGTTGCAGCTAGATGCATATCTCGGCTGTGCATAGACAGATACTTACTCCACAGAAAAAAGAGAAGACAAGCACTAATGAAGTTATATATATAATTATATATATAATTATATATATATTTATTAAAAATAAGTAATTTACAAAGACAAACCTGAGAAATAAAACTGCAGGGACGACACTACTGAAATAATATATATATGTATATACATGTATATACATATATATATATATATATATATATGCATATATATATATATATGCATATATATATATGTACATATTTATAATGGTAAAATGATATATATCTATATAGTATATATATACATAATAATACATACACAGGTAAAATATATATATAAGACAAACCTGAGGAATAAAGCTGCAGAGACGAGGCCCCCACTCATCCCTAAAAATTAAAATAATAATATCGCCAGCGAATGCACCGCCAGATATTGCAAAGGCTGCTTCTAACTGCAACAAATAAATAAATAAATAAATAAATATGTATATATATAAACAAAACAAACGAACAAATGAACGAACAAATAGATAAATAATCTATATATATATATGTATGCATGCATATATATATATATATATTATATAGCTATTATTTGAAAAATATATAGCTATATCATTGTCTTTTAATTAATATGAAATGAAGGAGTCAGCTGAATTGCTAATTTAAATTAAATTAATTAAATTTGTTTGTACACTCCGCCGCCGTCTCACCTCTTCAGGCTTCGCTTCCCAGTTGTTATTTTGAATTTTGTTTGCAATTTCCTCTCGAGTTTGTGTATGAATTTTGTTTTCTTTATTATGAAGTATATTTTCTTTGTCTGTCTGTTTGTTTGGTTTGTCTGTTTGTTTATTGTGTTCGTTTTTCTGTTTGTTTTGTTTGTTTTTATGCTGCATTTGCTTTGAATTAAAGCTGCTCTCTTCCTCATTTTCAATGGGTATAATGAGGAGGCGGCTGTCGCTACAGGCGAGCCAACAGCTGCCGATGATCTCATATTTATTAAAATTTGAATAATAAGAATTTGCAGCATTTAAGTTTAAATTTCGGCTTTTATTATGCTTTTCTTTTCCTATACCTAAACAAGGACGGCACAATAACCAACGGCAGCAACAGCTTTCTCTCTTCTCACGACCGCCTGCCCCTTGTAAATACATTTCATATAAACTGTTGTCTATTAACAACTCCAATTCTTCAACTCCGTATTCACCTCCCCCTCTTCCCCATGGGGGCCCCTCTTCTGCCTCCTCTGAGGCCTCCCCTCCTCCTCTTGGGGGCCCCCACGCTGCTGCTTCTGAGGGCCCCTCTGCTGCTTCTGGGGGTCCCTCTTCTGCCTCTAGGGGCCCCTCATTGAGGCCCCCTCCCTGGCAGCTGTCTGCTTGGGGGGCCCCCCTCGTTTGAGGGGCCCCCTTTTGGGGGCTTTTCGGACTTCTTGAAGAGCTGCGAGTTCGTAGTGCTTTTTGTATTGCAGCTAGCGTTGGGGGAGATGCCTGAAGATGCGACATTTTTAACTCGAAAGGATCGCAAAGGAAGAAAAAGCCGCCAAAGACCTGAAAAAGAAGTCAAGATGAAAGCACGCTTAACTGAATTCTTTTAAGTGCAGTTGTTGTGGTGATAGCAAACATTAATTATCTCCGCATTCAGAGACTATATTAAACGGATGCTAGGGCCAGACCAAATTGAAATATATAGAAAGGCTAGAGGAGGAGAGACGGTATACGAAAGTAAACAAAGATAAGGCAACTTGCATGCAGCCTCTGCATGCACGCAATTCAATGAATGCGAAGAGCATATTCGTTTCTGCTTGCCTGAAGCTTTTTCAATGAAGTGAGGAGAGAACTCATTTTTACGTACTCTCCCTCCTCCTTTGCAAATTCATGAGCGAACTGCGCATACACCGCAACCCAGCGATGCGGAGGCAGCAGATCCTGCAGCATAGGGGGAAAAAAACTGTTAATTTGCTTCCACTTCACACGGCTATCCACAGCTTTGCTGCTGTCGCCCAGGAGATGTTTCTGCAGCCAGCAGACTTTGGAGCTGAAAGCAGCAATACACTCAAACACAACGCGAAAACCGAGTGAAAAAGTGAAGAAACGAATAAGTAAAATAAAATAAACGGAAACATTATATCTAAAAGGAGGACATCGAAGAAAAAACCAGTCAGAATAGTGCTTTTTGAATGCATGCACAAATAATGAGGGATTCATCGCAAGGTGTATATACACCTGAAACATGCACTGCTGAACGAATTCAAATTCAACTCTTCACTTCTTTTTATTTGCATTTTCAGTTTTCGTCCGATTTCTTCTGGATAATACGCCATATATATATGGATATATATATATATATATTTCGTAGATGAATGCTATCTATTATTGAGAAATCAGTCTTTATCATTTTTGATTATGTGCATGTTTATTTATTTGAATTCCCCACGCAATTTCCGCAATGAGTTCTGGAGCCTCTTTCAGGGGATACTGCAGGAAGAATGAAGCTCCTTGAAGGCAAGTTAGGCGACTATGGATTGGATGAAGAATTATATTTTCGTCTGTCTTTAAAAATGGCCGCCGAAATACAAGACAAACCTGTAAAAAGAAACAAGGAAGAGATGTAGAAAGAAAACATCTTCAGAGAAACAGCAACACCAACGAGTTCTTTCTCTCGTTTCCACTTAAGTGATCAACTCAACAAATAATACATCTATTACTTCACCTCATGAAAAAAGAAAGGGAATTAATTTAATTTAATATTACAAAATACAATTCAAACGGATAACACCAACATGAACAGATGAAATTCAATAATTTCAATGCATGAATTTCAACAACTTAATCATATTAGATTCAAGAAAAGGAAATTCATTGTAAATGAAGTGAAGAAACTGCTGTCAATGCAGTTAGTAGATCCTCTGCACCTGTCTGTTGCTTTTGTTCTGAATCAAAGGCAGCAGGGCTTCATCTCCTAGCAGCAAACGAAATGCAGGAGGCCCCTCAACCCCTGCAGATGAAATCTTTAAAAGATAGCGAGGCAGCAGCTCCGCTATCACCTGCACGCACAACCAAGCACGCCAGACACTCTGCTGCTGCTGCTGCTGTTGTCCCTGCAGCTGCTGCTGTTGCTGATGCTGCTGTTATTGCAACTGCTGCTGTTGCTGCTGTTATTGCAGCTGCTGCTGCTACTGCTTTTCTTTCTGCTGCTGCTGATGCTGATAATGATGCTGAGGCAGCTTTTCTCTGCTTGGCCTGCCCAGCCACGCATGCAACAAAGGGCAAGCAGTAATAACAATAAGTAATTGCAATAACAGCACCAGAGCGATAATAAAGAGAAAATGATAATAATTTATACAGAGGAGAGACAATGAAGGTGGCAGCAGCAGAATAATGATAATGCGTAAAGATGATAACGACTACAAAAAGGAACTCCAAGACGAAATTTAATTAGCACTATTAATAAACAAAGCACCAGAGGGAAATATACATGTATATATATATATATATATGTTTATACATATATACATGCATGCATATACATATATATATATATATATATATGTACGTTCATATACCCATTCTTCTGGGTCTGGCAATCCTAAAGAATGACAAACTGCATCTCTGAGCGCCTCTGCATTTGCGTGCAGCCCCAAACAGACCCTTTGCTGCGAGCCTCCTTCCAAGTACACCTGAAGGGGAGATAAGCAAACAAATATAAGAAAAGAAACAGAAATGTTTAAAAAGGCAGCTGCATGCAAATACTTTCTAATAAAAAGCATAACTTCGCATATACACACTTGCTTGTGTACTATCAGGTTATATACACCTCTAAACATATATATCTGCAGCAGCAGCAGCAGCAGCCAGCATCGGTGCTGCTGCTATTGCAGCAGCAGCAAGTGTTTGCGCTGCTACTTCCTGCTGCTGCACTGACGCACGCATAGAGCAGCAAACAGCAGCAGCAAGATGCATATTTTTTGTGTTATATTACCTGGACATCGAAAGAAGATTTTGTTTGTTTTTCTTCATCGGAAGAAGAAATATCTTTATCATTTCTTTCTTCAGTTGTAGCTATTTCTTTTGTGTGTCTCTCCAGCGCTTGTAGAGCCTTGCTGCATATTTGCTGCACTTCGCGTTCGCGGGGCGTGAGTTGTCTAACTGTTGCTGCGGCTGCTACTGGGTTTGTTGTTGTTGTTGCTGCTGCTGTTGCTGTTGGTGGCTGCAGCAGCAAGAGCAGCGGCTGTTGTTGTTGTTGTTGCTGCTGCTGCTGCGTTGCATGCAGCTCCAGCATATGTCTAACATAAGGAAGCAGTTGCGGAGAAGGGGGAGAGGCTTCGCATAGAGCAGCAAGAAGAAGAAAGCCCTTAATAATGCTATTGAAGTTAGTATTTTGTCTCAGTTGCTTGATAATCTGTACGTACACCTCATCGCGCAGCAAATCGGATTCTGCTGCAGCATTTAATATTTCTTTTTTTGAATCATCTGTAAAAGAAAATATGTCTCCCATTGCCTTCTGCACTCGCCTAAACATTTCTAATGCCTCAGCCTCCAATGCAGCAGGGAGCACCAGCAGCGGCTTCGTTAATTCTTCTCTTTGAAAACTCAGCACCAACTCCCGCTGCAGCAGCAAATGCATTTCTCTCCTCGTTCCCTGTAAGCACAGCAGCAATTTAATTTAACACAAAACATATCTTTTCTTTGCTGCAAGCTCCTGCTGCTGTTGCTGATGCTGCTGCTGACGCTGATGCTGCTGCGCTTCTTCAGCAGCAGCAACAACAGCGCATGAGCGTTGAGTCATTCGAAAGAAGAGGTGAAGAAAAAAATCCACCATAATGCAGAGTCAAATATAAAATTAAATATAAAGGCATATACACATATTTGTATATATATATATATATGTATATATTTATATATATACATATATATAATATGTATATATATATATATATACATCTACACTCATGCACAGATATACATGCAAATACCTATACATATATATATATATATATATGTGCATCGATATGCAGATATATATACATATATATATATGCATAGATATGTATAAATATAAATATATATAAATATATATATATAAATATATATATAAATACATATATATATATATATAGGGGTACCTTTGCGCGTTGTATTTGTTGATTGATTGCGAGCTGCGGGTATTTTTCAATGGTGAAAACTCCGCCAGCATTTTGAATAATTTTGCTCTCAAAAGATATTTCTTCTGCTGCTTCTGCTGCTGCTGTTGCTGCAGCAAGGATCTCAGGTCTAACTCCAGCAGCAGCTCGTGCTGCTGCTGCTGGGGCCTTCCTCCCTGCTGCTCCTGCTGCTGCTGTTGCTGCTATAGCCCTTGCTTGTTTAATTAGATTATTAAGACGCTCTATATCTGCTGGCGAGACAGATCCCCAAGAGAATAAGATAATACTTTCTCTTAACTCAGATTCAAGAAAAGAAATATCAAACAAACGCTGCAGCTTCTCTTCAGCCAAGAAAACCTCGCTATGCATTGTAGATACACCCGCCTCCCGTGCCCTGCAGCAGCAGCAGCAGCAGAAGCAGTGACAACGACAACTAGCAGCAGCAGCAGCAGCAACAGCACCGATAGCAGCAGCGGTAGCAGCAGCAGCAACAGCAGCTACAAGAACAACAAGTAGCAGCAGCAGCAGCAACAGCCGCAGCAGCAACAGCATGAGCAGCAACAGAGGCAGTAGCAGCGATAGCAAACAAACCAAAACAAATTAACTAACAAACACAACAAGCAAAAGAGTAAACAAGGTAAATGAACAAACAAACGAATGCAAAAAAACAAACAAACAAACAAAACAAATAAACATACAAACAAAACAAACAGACGCATAAACAAAGAGACATATAAACAAAAACGCATACAAACAAACCAACATAGAGACAGACAAACAAAAAAAGACAATCAAACAAACATTTAAACAGACAGACAGACAAACAAACAAACAAACAAACAAACGAAACAAAACAAAACAAACAAACCCCTTACCTGGAGAGCAGAAACTGCAGAGCGCCCACATCGCACTGCGCTGTCGCCTTCCTTAGTTCATTTAAAAATTTATTTAAATATTCTTCTTCTGCTAATTCTACTCCGTACATACCTCCAGCCCCATTGTCTCCTGCTGCTGCTAAAGCAGCAACACCAACAGCACCAACAGAAGCAGCAGCAAAAGAAGCAGCAGCAGCAGATGCAGCAGGAAAAGCAACAACAGAAACAGCAGCAGCACCGGCAACAGAAGCAGCAGCAGCAGCAGTTATTTCAGAAATGATATCCTGTGGTTGCAGCAGAAGCAGATCGCTCTCTGCATGCATTTGTTTTGTATTTATTTATATATTTATTGCAAGCCTGTTTATTTGCTTTGTTTACCTGTTTGTCTCTCTCCGATTATATTATATATAAATATATACAGATACAAGTATGCATTATATTTTATTATTATTATTATTATTATTATTAATTATTATTATTATTATTATTCTGAGAGTTTACTTGGGGTGTGCACCCACCACAAACGTATACAGCATAATAAATAAACAAACAAAAAAAACCGATTAATTAACTAATTAATTAATAATATAGACAGTTGCATAATGCAAGAAGACAAACTTATTACTTTTTTTAATTAAATTTTCTTCACTTTCACTGTCTGTAGACTCCGAAGATAGCAAAGAAAATGTACGGCGCCGGGCCATTACTTTTCTTCCCTTTGTCTCTTCTGTAATACAAAATAAACAAATAAATGAAAATAATAATTTAAAGAAAAGAAGAGATAAAAAGAATAATTGAAAAAGGAAAGAAGAGGGTTTGCTTTATATTGAATGTTGTTCAGGCTTTTATGGGGAGTTATATTTATATCTATATTTATATTTATATTTATATTTATATTTATATTTATATTTATATTTATATTTATATTTATATTTATATTTATTTAAACGCCACGGCGGAATCAAAAGAAGAGAACAAACAAAATGCATAGAAGAAGAACAAAAGAAGTAAAAATGAGAAAAGCAAAAATAAGATAAAACAAATAAAGAGCAATAAATAACAAAAACGACAAGACAGCAAACAAAGGTCTTGATTTCTTAATAAATTTTATCAGGGCTATGAACACAGCAAGAGAAATTATTTAAAAGAACAAATAAACAAAACATAAAACAAACAAACCTTTTTCTTTCTTTTTTACTTCTTTATTCTCTAAAAAAGAATTTAGTGTTGTTATCGCCGCTATATAATTAACGCTAGAGGCCCTGCAGCTCTCCACTGCCTGCAGCACAAAAAATATTTTGTTTTAATTTCATTATGTTTAATATTCAAAGAACACAGACAAATTAATTAACACCAATATAGAAAGCAATGCGAAACAGACGCACCTGAAAGCAAATATATCTAAATATATTATATATATATAGTATTATTACTAATACAAAGGGGGAGAAAAAGTATGAGAGGGTGTTGATGCTATTATTATTAATATTAAAATATGTTGAAATAGACAAGAGAAAAAGTATAAGAAAGCGTTTATACTATTCTTATTAATATTGATATATACTGAAATATATTGAAATATATTAAAATATATCAAAATATATTAAAAGAGATAAGAGAAAAAGTATAAGAAAGTGCTGATATATAATTTTACCTCCCTTAGAACATTTTGTTGTATGCCTCGGGCTGTTTGAATTTTTTGAATTTCTTCGATTTTTGCGAGCGAAGTTCGAAGCTTTTTAAAACTTTCTTGACTTTGTTTGTCTTGTATGGCATTTGTTTTATTTGTTTTAATATCTTTATTAGCTTGTTTATCTCTATTTTCTTTTTCTTCTTCTTCTTTAATAAACTCTACCGCGCAGCTAACAACATCTTCCAGGCCCTCTAAAACGAACGGCCCTGAAGTCTGCAAGAGACAATATTTTTTGTATTTGTTCATTTATTAGTATTTTATTTAAATGCAATTGATATTTATCTTAATTCATTCTCATAGTAATATTTATTTTAAATATTATTATTATTATTATTATTTATTGTTATTATTATTTTTCTGTTTTCAGTTAGCCAGAGGAATACCTCAAGAAATCAAAAAGAAAATTCAAGACACTTCCAAATGCAAAGAAAACCCAATATAAATTTATATCTATATCTATATATATATATATATATATATATATCCATATACGCAAATTCTATTGATATGTACGTGAATAATATGTATGTCAGATGCATATAAATATCAATAAGCAGAATATATATATACATATATGTTTATGTTAATGTGTTTCGTAAATATTTCTACAATAAGGGGAATGAAGAAAGAAGCATCAGCAAGTAATAGAACAGTTAGTTGTTAGGTTGTAAGAGAAGATATACACCAAATAAATTAAGAGAGTAAAGGCAAGAGAATCTGCGTCTATAAACAAAAGCTTAAAAGCTTTCGTACCTTCATTTGATTGCTTTCTTCAATTAACTTCTCTAATTCATAAATATCTTCTTTCTTCTTTTCTTTTTTCTCTAGACAAACAACTAATTTATCTCGTAAAGTTTGCTCCTTCTCCAGTCTCTGCAGCAGCTCCTTTGCCTGCATGCATACAGGAAAAAATAAATACAATTAAATGAATAATAATAGTGATAAACGAATTACAAAGTAAATGTTCTGTATATACACGCGGAGAAGCAGAAAGAAACAGCTTCTACTTGCATACATTTTGTGTTTTTTAGAGTTTGTTTGGAGTTATCTTCACCTAAATAAATTATAATAATTCTCATGATGCAACTAATATAAAATATACAACAAATAATGCCTTTGTGGAGTCTATAAGAAATATAACAGTAAAAAACAGACAAAATTTGCTGTCTCTCATAATACTCTTCTCTGTTTTAATTGATGCTTTTTTAAGTTGCTTTGAATTCAAAGACAAATACAAATATCAATACGTAAATATACTGTATATGTGCATATAAATATATATATATACATTTTGTTATTTATTCCTGTGTCTAGGATGTACAGAAACAAAGGTATGGGTTTTGTTTGTATTTCCTACAGAGTTGCCTGCATCTTCTTTCTATTCTTATATATATATATATATGCATGTATATATATTATATTATATTATACTATACTATAATAACTAACGCGAAGAACAACATCATTATAGATGCCTTTGTCTTCTGCTTGAGCGAGCATCGACTTTAAAGGAGAAAATCCAACAAAGCCCGGCGAGCCCATCGCCTCTTCTAGACGTCTAAACAAACAAATGAATAAATAATTTATTTTATTTTATTGTTAAATATCATTTTAATTAAATACAATAATCAGATAGAATACATGCAATGAACAAATAAATACTTTGTTTCATTTTATTATTCAATATTCAAATAATTTAATATAATAATCAAATAAAATAGACAAACACCAACAGCAACAACACCAACAACATCAACAAATAGTAATAATAAAATAAATAATAATAAAAATATAAATAATAAAAATAATA